TTGCTGCAGCATCTCTGGTACCGCTTCTCGTTTCTGCAGCTGCGCTGGGGTGAAGGGACTTCCTTTGAATAATACCCCTAGGCTCCCACAGCGCTGTGGTTTTTTATTTCCCTTTCCCTAGGATCTCCTGCTGGCAGCAGCGTTTGTGTCCGACGCACAGTACAACAGAAATATTCCTTTCAAGACCTCCCCGGAGGCGGTCAGGTCAGGGGGTCTCTCAGGCTGTGGGACGCTTGGGGTGCAACGGGAAGAACCAACTGCAACCACATCAAAAAAAAGCAAGAGCTTAAAAAAAGGCTGGGACCTTGGGTTCACCAGCTGAGTGCCGAGAAGGGCGAGCGGGATGAAAAGAACCATGTTTAAGCTGAAATGCACACGTGGAATGGGGCTTAATGTATCTGTTGTTAAGGACAGGAAAGGAAATAGAAACTGTGTGCTCAGCAGACCTGCTCCACGTCTGCCCAGAGGAGCCACTGTCATGCGGAACTTCCCGCAGGAGGCTCTGTGCGTGGTTAGTGCCACTATTCACGAGAGATTCTGCTTCTGTAGAACACTGCTTCTCTTCTGTATGAAAAACAGTTTACTCTGCATCTCCGTGCTTCTTTCTGGTGGCTTTTCTTATGTCTCTGCTCCTCAAGCTGCAAGGAAAGGGTGTGAGGTGACTAGTCAGACTTAGTTTGTGTAACAGGTGGATACTTGAGCTTAGCACAAGTTTGCACGCAAATTAAGAAATGAGGTAATTACGTAAACGAAGCAGCTTTACCAAATGGGTATGTTTCAGTCTTAAACTGAACTGAAGAACCACCTGTGTTCCACCTCCCCATGAGTATGTGCACTGAAGCTTTATTTGTGGTGCCTCTGCCTTCTTCCTACAGGCTTTATCATCTCTATAACCACTGGGTTATGCGAACAGCCACCTATTTCTTCATCTTTCTTAACCTGTCCCTTGCATTGTTTGAAGAACCTGCTGTGTATCCACTCCCCTTCCTGGTAAGTTTTCCATGTAGAAGCAGCAATACAACTAGTATCACGGTGCTTGGTAGAGCAAGCGAGGGTTTCTTGTTTGAAACTAGTTGTCAGAAGTGACAAGAAATAATTGATGCTGGTATTTCTGTCAGTATCTCTGATCTACTGAAATGGGGACAAAAAAGAGGCCTAGGAGCTAGATGGAGACATGGGAGCCATCATGGCTCCCATCAGCAATGGCTGATGTGACTGTGGGCAAGGTCATGGTGCTTTTCTGCATCTCAGAGAACAATTCTAGCTTTCTGTGTGACCCAAGTCTAGTCCTTGTGCCTGAAAGCAGAACGGGAGTGTTGCCCTTAGGACTGACTTTTCTGTAGCCTTTATTTGTTCTGCACTAGCGTGTTTGTGAGCTATGTGCTCCTTGAATCCTAGGCAAATACAGATTTTTTTGTTTTAACCTGCCTGCAGCAGGGACTTTCACAGAAGGAAGCTTGAAACTTGCTCAGTGCCAGATATGTGAGCCTGTAAAACAGCCGAAAGCAAAACCCACTGGAAATGGTTTTTTAGGTTGATTCTGCCTGTGTATTCTTTGTCTATACCCTAGCCTGAACATCCTCGTCTGTGCAAAGAAGGCTCGTGCTGCTCTTGGTTGTCCTGACTCAGGCCCCTCCTCTTACTGCAGGTCACTTCTTTGGTCGAGGTATTGTGCCTTCTGGTGTTCTTTGGCCGACTGACACACTTTGCAAAAGTCACCCTTCACAGTGTATTCTGGAAGGATACCAAGAACATCTGCATCATGGTTGCAATCCTGGTGAGTTAGCCCTAGGAGAGCCTCCAAGGTTGAAGTGGCTGATGCAGAGATGACTTTTTCCTCCTGTTGCTTTCCTGGTAACATAGGCCTGATGTGCAAGGGCTCAACAAGACCTGTGGCCAAATCAGCCTTTTCTCACAAACCTGTTGTGTGTGTCTTCGCTTAGTATCTGCTAACTCTGTTGTCTTTACCATATAGACATGTGTCCAACATTGCTTTTGGAAATTTTCTTTCTTGTACAGTTATCCCTAACAGACTTGGCCATATATGGGGTCCTCAGGATGTACAATGTGAGGAGCATTCGATGGTCAAGAATTGTGAGGCCCATCTTCCTGATCAACTTTGCAGAGAGTCGCCAGGTAAGGAGGAGGTCTGGTGGGATGTAACCCTGGTGTGACTCTTATTTGTTGAGCACACTTGGGGCTCGAACTAGAGCTTCGCACCAAACATGGTGCTGTGATGATTTAGGGAAGACCATGCACAACAGAAGGATAAGACTGAATGGAGAGGGGGAAAAAAGTTTCTTGTAAAGTCTTACTCCAGCCAGTGTGGAGGAGCAGCCTCTGTTTGCAAGTGGAATTAGGTGCTCTCCTCAGGAGATGTGAACATGAGCAGCCCTGCAGACAAGAAAACTGTTTCTCCTTGGGTGAGAAGCCAGGTTACTTATTTCTGGAAGTCTCCTAGGCAAACAAGCACAAGGGTCATGCTGTTCTCAGAAACTGAACTTGTAGTCCAGGAGGGTGATTTGGACTCCGATTCCTCTCATCACGGGGGAGATCTTTGCCCTGCTGCCCAAGACTGTTCTGGTCCCGACTTAAAAATGAATAAACCACTGTGGTGTGGAGGCCTAGGGGAGGGAGCAGTTGAGCTCACAGGCTTGGAGCATGTGTTTTGTGGCCTGGAGTGATGGGCTTCTGTCCTTGACCCTTCGCTAGCTGCATTCATGATAGTATTTAGATAATAGGGTCTCTCCTTCTAGCATCTCTGGGGAATGAGGAGGAAAGACCTGGTATTCTTGCATAGGTTTTAGCAGAACACAGCTGGCACATTGGATCAGAACTTCTGCTGGATGACAGAAAAGTACCTGTGTCCCACTGTGCTTGCCTGTCCCTCTGTAGGTGTTTGATCTTGATTGGGTAGTGAGGGGGGGAAAACTGGTATCACCTCGCCTCTAAATGCTTCCCTTCTCCCTGGCAGATTCGGAGAGCCTTCCGCAGCATCCGCAACACACTGCCAGAGATCACCTACGTCTTCTTGCTCTTCATGTTTAGCCTTCTCATGTTCTCCCTCATGGCCTTGAAACTGTTTGGTGAGAGGTGTGAATACTTATTTTGCTTAGAGCTGGGTGGGAAGAATGTGCGTGTGTGATAGTTTCGGGCAGGAGGAGATCGGGAAACTCCAAACCGTTACTAGTGCACACAAGCACTGCTGATATGTGCAGTTCCTGTGGTCAAACATGCAGTCTCGGTGCTTAACTTGAGATTGTCCTTTTTTTCTCCTAGGAATCTCCAGACAGCAGAAGGCTTGCCGTATTTCAGAAACTACCTAGAAATCGTGTTTGATCTCTATGTGCTGGTGACGACAGCAAACAGCCCGGATGTCATGTACGTATGCTGAGCTTGCAGTCTTTGTTGTGAACGCTTGTGTCCTGCTCCTAGTGGCAGGATCTTGGGTTAGAACAACAGTGTGTTTTGCACAACCAAGTACTGCAGGGTGGCAACAGGGCTTTTACTTTTCCAGCCTGCATGGGTTTCATGAATTCTCAGCTGCATGTTTTATAAATGGCCGTGAACCTGAATCTGAGACTTAGAAAATCCTGTTTTCCAGATGACCCAGGCACTGATGAAGGCTTAAACTGGAGGGACAAACACATGCTTTTTGATTAAATTAAAAAAGCAAGTGTGTGCTCTAGTGATCAGATGTCTTCTTCTGTCATAATATTTGTAGGGCTTTCTATGCAGGCTTTTTAAAATTGACACAACTGTGTTAAACCTGCTTTCCATTCTCATTTTTTCTAACCAGATGTCTTATTTGCCTGTTTGTCTAGCAAGTAGCAATCTCTCCCCTTCTCTAGGATGCCAGCATTTGACTTCAGCTCATGGTATGCCCTGTTCTTCATTGCCTTTGTCATCATCAACACTTACATCTTCATGTCTCTCTTCCTGGCTGTTGTGTACAACAACTACAAAAAGCACCTGAAGGTAATGTTAGTGGTGACTGCCTGCTGTTCTGTTGAACCTTGTGAGGAAATATCTGGCTTTCCCTTGGAAAGCTGCTGCTTGTGGAAAGTGTGGAGAGGGGGATACAGCTTCTTGCCTTTGCTCTGCAAGTAAAAAGCACTGGTTCACTTTTCCTGTCATGGGCATTGCTGCAAGTTCTTCTTTCAGCATTTAACAATGAAATATTCTGTGGTGCTATCGACCCGAGAAGTTTTGACAGATAGGAAGCCCATGTCTCTGCATTATTGCTGTTAGAGGCTTAGTCCTGTTCTCAGTTGGTTGTAAGTGCACAGCGCCCTTTTTTTGCCACTGCATATGCTCTTAAAGCAACGGAAGTATAAAGGGAGATCTCGGTAAATCTGAGTAGGTGCAGTTTGGTATTTGTGATTAAAGAGTAAGCTAGAAATTCCTGGGTGCTCCCATGAGGGGCTTGGCTCTTTCTCAGTAAGCAGCCTGCTAGGTCTTCCTAGAGGCTGGTCTCCCAAGTAGATAGGGTTCCTTAGCCTCCTTGTAATCATGTGCAGAAGAGGATCTCCACCCCTGATCTCAGCAGTATTTACTTGTGGAGGGGAAGTATGTGTGGACACATCCTCTCTGCTTCTGTGTCCTGTGGGCATTGGATCCCGTGATCTTTGTCATCTCCTTCCTGTTAGATGCTATCCTTTGTGTTTTGTTCTGTGTTTTCAGGGCACCTCCCAGCAGCAAGCACTCTGATCCTTCCAGACAGCTTTGTAGAGGGCTCATGGTTGCCTGTTAGATAGCAGTGCTTGTCACCCCCACTGACCATGCTGTACTTTGTGTTTATTATCTCTTCACATGTGTTATTCTTCTTGCATCTCTCTGCCATGAAAATAAGATATTTAAAAAAAAAAAAGAGGGAGAAAGGTGAATGAAGCTGCCTGAATCACGATACTTTCTCTAGAATGAGATCCGTAAGCTTGCTTACATGAAGCACCGCAAGATGATAGAGGCCTTCAACCTCCTGAAGGAAGAGGAAGGAGCACAGTTTGTGGTTAGAGAAGCCCAGTGGAAGCAACTTGTCAAGCTGGTGGCTCCTGATATCAGCAACTCCCACCAAGAGCTGCTGCTTCGCATCTCAGATGATGAGCAGAAGGGTTTCATAGGTGAGCAGTGGGACACTGCTGTGCTCAGGGGATTGGGGAGGAGCCTGGGGTCAGGAACCTGATGTTTCAAGGACTTTGGCATTGGAACCTGTGGTCTGTAATGGACTCCAAGGGACTCCAGGTCCCTCTTGCTGCTTCCCTCCAGATGGCTTAGGTCCTGAAAGGTTTTTTCTGCCTGTGCTGTAGCCTGTGTCATGTATGCTGTGGGCAGCTCTTCATGGCCATTTGATACCTGGCCAAGCTCACCATGGAGAATGGGACCTCTTGTTCTCAGGACAGGACAAGGAAAGCCTCCATTGTTACCAGATTTCTCCAAGCAACGTGGCTGCCCACACAGTCCTCTGGAGCGTCTTGCTCTGCTCCTGCTGGAGTCTCCTCATGCTAGATTGTGCCCATCCTGATCATTAAAGGTTTGAGCTTGAGCCAGTCCTTCAGGAGTGGGGCAGAGAAGCTGCCGAGAACTTGAGTCAGTTCTCTGGTGGATACCACTCAGCCATGTGCTTTGCCTGCTGCAGAGAAGAGAGTTTGAGTCCAAACTGCTACAACTCGTGTGCACTGAGGTTTGCATTTGCCCAACACTGTCTTCTGTTTTAATGACAGCAGACTGACGCGTAGTGCTCTCCCCTACTGCAGACAAGAAGTCCTTTGTACAACTGGCAGACCTCCTCAACATTCAGGTGATTACCATGAAAATACGCAGCCATCCCCTGGGGCAGTGGATGCCTCGTGTCTACCAGTCAGCGGTGAGCCGGTTCCTGCGCAGCATGGTTCGGCACAGGTAAGCCTCTGCTGGTGGAATAAGCAGTTCTTCACATTCGAAGGGCTACAAGCAAATGCTCATCTGGGTGTCATGCTGGCAAGTGTTCTGGTTTTTTGTGTTCTGTGGACCAACTTTGCTCTTAGCCTACCTTCAGTGGTGCTTGGTTGTTGGTGAGTCCGTACCTCTTCCAGTCCTGCTTCTTCAGATCTTCTCTAGGTGCTGAGTGTAAATAGCTTTTACTGAAAGCAACAAGTGCCTTATGGCCTGCCTTGAAGGACCAGGCTAAATGCTTCACTTAAAGGTGATATCACCTCAGCAGTCTGTGCTGTAAAGCTGCATTGTGTTGTTTCATCAGCTTTTGCCAAGTTAATATTATAATCTACTAGTGCTCTGTTTCACATTTGAGCCTTCCCAGCCATGGCAAGATCACTGAGATTGGAAGGAACATCTAGAGGTGGTCTAGTGTAACCCCCTCAGCTAGAGTAGGCTCCTCGGAGCTATGTCCAGTTGGGCTTTGAGTATCTGCAAGGGTGGAGACTCCATAACCTCTCTGTAACCTGTTTCAGTGTTTGAGCACCCTTGGTTTAAATAAGGTAAAAAATAATTGAAAAGCTTTTTTGTGTTTAAATGGAAAAGTCCTATATTTCAACTTGTGCCCCTTGCCTCTCGTGCTTTCACTGGATACCACTGAGAAGAGTCTGGCTCCACCTTGTCTACACCTTCCCACCAGGTATTTATCCATACAACTTGAGATCCCTCTGACTCATCTCCCTGTCAGGCTGAAAAATTCCAGCTCTGTCACCATGTAATGTGTCAGGTTATCCCATCCTTTAGTTGTTACTATGACGCTTTGCTGCACTTGCTGTAGTATCTTCATGTGTCTTTAGTACTGAGCAGCCCAGTTGTGGACACAGCACTCCAAATGTGGCCTCACCAGTCCTGAGCAGATGGGGAAAAAAATTGCTTCCCTCGAGCTGTTCCCAGCACTTTTCCCCATGTAGCTGTGGATGCTGTAGGTTTTCTTTGCCACCACGGTGCATTGTGGGCTTGTGGTCAACTTGTCAACAAGAACCAACGCCCAGATCCTCTGCAGTGCAGCTTTTCAGGCGCTTGACCCCCAGCCTGTGCTGGTGTCTGAGGTTATTCCTCCCTAAGAGCAGGACATTTCCCTTTGAACATGGTGGGATTCCTCTGTGCCCACTTCCCAGCTTGTCCAGGTCCCTCTGACACCATCAAACTCATCTGGTGCACCAGCCACCCCTCCCAGTTCTGTATAGTCTTCTGTTTTACTGGTCCAGTCTTTCTGATGGAGGAATGGTTGGAAACAGTTGCAGTCAGCCTCTGGAGTTTGTTTAATACTGAGAGCATTGGCAGTGGTGTATCTTGAAGGCGTGTCTTCTGCTTTGTGTTGGACTTCAAGAGTAAAGCTAAACTCTGCAGTAACTTTCCTAAACTCGCAGGTTTGGGGAGAACTGATGGGTAAAGATGATTTCTTAAATGGCAATGTTTTGAAGAGGAGGCAAACAGCTTGTGAAATAACTGTGTAACACCTTCTTGGGAGTGGCAAACTGATTCTGTTTTTCTTCCTGCAGGGGATTTGTTTGGACTTATGATGTGATCATTCTAGTAAATGCTATCTTCATTGCTCTGGATGAGGAAACCCCTTATATTTCTTATGCGGAGTGGATCTTTCTTACTTTGTATATAATCGAGATCCTCCTGAAAGTGTACACTTATGAACCAAGGGCATTCTTTGGCAAAAACCAGTTCTGGAACTGGTGAGTGGAACAAATGTTTGTGTTAAAGGTGGTGTGGAGCGTGAGATCTTTGTGTTCAGCTCTGAGACACTTTCAGTGCCTGAGGAGAGGCAGGCTGCTTAACTCATGTGCCAGGGGTAACTGAAATGATTATATGCATCAGAGGATGATGTGCTCTTGCCTGGCCTGGCCTGACTTGGCTCTGGCAGAGACTATTGTTTTCTGCCCCATGCTGCTATCTCGATCCAAAGTGACTGCCACGTGCGAAGAGATCACTACTTGTTTATATGTCACGTGGCAGCTTAAGTGCCTGTTCTCTGCCCGCAAATCTAATGGCACTGCGTTCCCTCATGCTAGGTTTGATACCCTCATCATCTTTGCTGCCTTGACTGCAACGATACTCAATACCACCCTGAAATCGAGTAAGTGCAGCTCGCGCAGTCTGCATGCCTCTGGGAAATTCGGTGGTCTTGAGTCGTCTTTTGCTATCACCTTGGGCTTGGGAGGGTTTTTGACAAGACAGTGAATTTACTTTGGATTTCTAAGAACTAAGTCTTTTTTTATAGCTACCTGTTATTATTAGTGTTTAGCAAGGACATAATCCTAACAAACGCAACAACCTGCTTTATGCTTCCCTGCTTGTTTTTCATAACAAAAATCTTTTTTGCCTTTCTCAGCCACAAAGTACAACAGCCAACAGATCCTGGACATTGTCTTCATCTTAAGAGTCCTCAGGCTAATAAGGATTGTTGACAGCATTCAAAGGTAATCAAGGGAATGGGATAGGGGTGTGGTTTTGGGGGCAAGCTGTGTCAGAGGCTGGCTGAGATAGTGCCTTGAGTTGCTCTGCATGGCTGCTTTGGACTGACCATGGCCACTAAAAAAGGATCCCAAGGCCTTGTCCTAGTGTGCTTGGGATGAACCCAGTTGCTGCAGCTTTTCTGGAGACTTACTTACAGATTAAGGACATGTGGGGAGCACAAGCTGGGTGGGATGTGATAAGTGTGGGATTTAAAAGATCCTCCCTACAGTAGGTGTTGTCATGAATCATTTGCTGTAGGTTCCGAGTCATCATGAACACACTGATAAACATCGTACCAACAATGTTGACGTTTGGTGGGCTGACTCTGGTAAGAAATCCTGGTATCTTAGCTCAAAGCACTCCAGTTTTACAGCAGTGTATCTTAAGTCTCACACTCATGCTGTTCCCAAGAAGATAAATGCAAATCTCTCGATGGTGGGCCTTTGTAAGTGTCCATTTGATTCTTGGTTATTGCACATGTAAATGTGTGCAAAGGGGTCAAGTTCCTGCCAGTTGCCAGGTGAGGAGATCCTCCTTTGCTCCACAGAACAGCAAGGATGTTCTGTGCAATATGGGCTTCACACTGTAAGGAATCAAAGTATAGTTTGGGCTAGAAGCTGAATGAGAAACTTGTTTCTCAAATAGCTTCTATTATGATTTGCGACTACTTCATTTCCATGTATTTGGGCTGTAGTTGACTTACTATTCTTGCATGGTAAATGCTCTTGAGAGGCTTGGGTCTCTTGAACTCTGTGCTACTCCTCATAAAGTTTCTTCTGGAACTTGCCATAGAGCTTGCTGCTCAGTGGAGAAGCGGGCAATGGGATTTCTCTTCCCAGGTTGTGTACTGTGTATTTGCTACCATTGGCATGGAGTTATTCCATGGGAAAATCCAGTTCTTCCCTGCAAACTCAAATGCTCCTCACGCCCTGGAATGTGGAAACCCAGCCCTCAAGGATTCTCTGTTTGCCCGTGGAAAATACTGTAAGAACAACTTCAACAACTTTGCGTCGTCCTTCATCGTCTTGATGGAGCTGACTGTAGTCAACCAGTGGCATGATATCCTTTGTGGTGGAAAGTCACAACTAGAATTTGGGCATCCAGGCTCTTCTCTGACTCTGCTCTTCCCATTTATTGCACACACCCATGTGCATAGTGCAGGACTACAGAGATATGGCCCCTGCAGAGGCCTTTGTTCAGAAGGTTGCTGTTGGGCAGTATTGCCTGGTTCCTTCCTTAGCACTAATTCTACAGGAAGATGTTCTCCTTTAGCAGCCTTGCCCTTAACTCCTGTTATACTTTTTGCTAATGGCTTTGCCAACGTGACGGTTCAGCCCGCAAAGCTGTATTTCATTGCCTTCCACATCGTGATGGTGATCGTCATTGTCAAGTAAGCTTTGGTTCACTCTCATCCACTCTGCCACGGCACTGCTGATGGTCCCAGGACCACTCATAGTGTCACAGGAGAATCTTCTTTATCTAGTCTTATCTCCCCTGGACAATGCTCTTACTTGGAGAGGGGACAGAGGAGTGGATGGAGCACTGGGAATACCGAGGCAGTAGTTGACACCCAAAAGCAGGGGGGATGCCGATAAGGAAATGCTGCTGTGTAATTCTGCTCATCCTTTCTTTCAGTATCTTCGTGTCCTTCATTTTGGAAGCTTTCTTTGTGGAGTACTCCCTAGAGAAGAGTGAAGTAGAAACAGCCATTGAACAGAAAATCCAAGAGCTGGGAATGGGAGTTCAAGAGTAAGCTGCCTTCCAAAGGGTAGTGCTGAATGTAGTTGGCTTGGCACAGCCACTAAGGGCTGTGGGACTGGAGGAAGAAGCCACCCTGTGCCCCAAGGTGTGAGCTGAGACTCCTCTTCCTTGCTGATGGAAAGTTCTTACTATCTGTTATGTCCTTCTTGTATAGGGATGAGCTCCAGGATGAACAGCTCCTTGATAACATGGAGAATGATGAGCGGGACCTTGATGGGGAAGGTGGAACAAAGCCACAGTCTAAAGGGCTGATGTTTAAAATCGCCTCCAAACGTAAGTGCAGCCCTACAGTGTGCCCAGTTTGAGAGGCCGAAGCTCTGAACCATTCGTGGTAGTAGCCCCGCTCTCTCTGGGGAAGCTCCCAAGCCACTTCTGCTTCCTTTGGGCTATAAGCAGCTAAAACCACCCTGGAGATTCTGAGAGAACTGTGGATATTCTAATGTTTGCTGGTTTTACTTCTGTAGCAGCATCTTTTTCTCTCGTCTACCTCATCCCTTCTGTACCACGCCTGTGCTCATTAGGCAGTCTATCAACGCACTGCTTCGGTGGCTGCTGTCCTGCTGTTGTCAAGAAATCCATCTTCTCTCCTTCCTATATGCACTTTGCATTCCTCCTGGCTTGGATCACAGGGTGACTATATGCTCTTTTGCTCTAGCTTAACGATGACTTTTTTTCTTCTGGCTTTCTTGCTGTACCTTAGTTCCCCGAGTTCATGCTTCTCGGTATGGCAGCGGCTTGATGTCACAAAGGACACATGGGAATTGAAATGCTTAAAATAATGGCCTTTATCCTTTACAAGCTTTGGCAGCAGTTGAAATGGGATGTAAGAGGGAATATCATTTGGGGTATTTGTTTTCTTGCCTATTTAGTGTAAAATACGAAGAGAAGAGCTGCCTTAAGGTAGCCACTACTGAATTTCAGGACTGGATGCTTACAGTGACGTTTTTTTATTTGGCCACCTGCAGGCTACAGGACCGTTGACGCTTTGCTCCAGCGTATGTTTGAGGCAGAGATACCCCTTGAGGATGAAGGCCCTTCATTTGAAGAGATCTTAAACCTGTCTGTGACTGCCACTGTACCCACTAATTTGATTTCAGAGAGCACAGCGTAATGGCGGCAACCCCTGGTAGCTGCTGAGGAGGAGCTTGTTCTCAGCTGCCTGGGTCTCGAGTGTATTCCCTGACTGGCTCATGTGTGGTGGCCAGATCACACAGTGGAAGGGGGTAGTCAATGCCAGTGAACAGCTTTGTCATGTAGAGGAGCTTTATTTCATGTAAAATCTCATATAAGCATTGAAACTGTGGAACTGCCCTCACCAGGGAAAAGGGAGGGAGAGTTGGTGTATCTGACTGTGCCTGTCAAGTAACAGGTGTTGTATTCAGTATGTTGTGAAATACACAATTCCAGTTACAAGAAGTAGGTATTACAGCACTTCTGTATGTGCATACAGACCAATGTAAACTGTATTGAAGAGCTCTTCAGTACATTAAATTCAGCAGTCTGAAAAAATTACCTATTATCTCAGAGCTTAATGATGGTGTACCGCATCCCTACTCCCGAACAAAATCCTGAAAACTAAGGTGGGACAGAGGGAGGCCACGTCCTCCCTGCTCTGGCTGTTTGAACATGCAGAGAGCAGCAGAAGGCCTAAGGCGGGATGACTAGTGCTGTCCGCACTGCCTCACGGCGCCTCTACCTGCCCCAGATCCCAATTTATTGCTTTATATATTGATTTTCTATATCGCGCTTTCTCACCCGCGGCCCCGCAGAGCAGGCGTGCGCA